GGAGGCTGGGTCCGGAGAGCGGCGAGTCCCGGACTTGGGGCCAACGGCGTTGACCCGATGCGGTGATGTAGAGGATGGGGGGGCGGTGGGAGTCGAAGATGGAGCCGCCTTCAGAGTTTCTACCGGTACTCGTAATAGCGGTGCAGCAGACACGCCAAGAACGTCGCCCGGCTCCAATTCGGCACAACCTGCAAGGGGAATACGCTGAAGACCATTGGAAACAAATGCATCGGGGGACGAAAGTGCACCCACTTCAGGTCGGAACGATACGAGATATTCGCCGATCAGCGCAGGCATGCCCGAAGAACGGACGAGGTCCACCTCAACAAGGGCCGGCTCCGGCCCCAAGGAAATGCCCGAGCTCCCTGCATATTTGAGGTGAAACGAAGAGGCAGGAGCGTCGTCGTGCGTAGCGTAAACACACGCGCCAGCGGTGAAACGTGGAGAGAGCGTGAGCTCGCCCATAACCCGGCCGTTTGGTCCAGGGTGGGGGAGGGTGGTGAACACTCGAGAGTTGAACCGCATCCAGCTATCGCGACCCAGAAGCACGGCGTGCCCCATGGCGGCATCTGGAACAACGCAGGCCCAGACCGCCAACGAAGCGGTAGCTCGAGCTCCATGAAGAAAATTAACGGTGAGACGAACTGACCGAGTGGTCACAAGGGCGGGTCCATCACCAAACCCACCCCAACGACGAGAGGGAGAAACACGAACGCTGCCAGCTGTCAAGGCTCCAGCAGCTACCATGGCGGTGACCACGGAGTCGGACACAAAAGACGAAGGAGATCCAGAGTCCAGCAGCGCCACTCGCGCGAGTTGAGAAGTGGCTGTAGGTCCTCCATGCAGCAGAACCCGGGTGGTGTAAGAGTCCGAGTCCAACAGGAGCGTGCCGCCGACCAGATCGGGCCCGTGTTCCAGAAGAGGAGGTTGGTCTGCACAAGCGGAGGTCGAGGCCACCAGATGAACACCAGGAGCATGGTCCCCCGGAGCGTCCAAATGGAGACAGGCTGGGTCTTCACCCCGGTCCTCCCGTGACGACGAACCTGCCACGGTAGCAACCTCGTGGATGCGTCTACGGCCATGTGGAGGAGGCTGCAAAATGGGAGGTGCGGGAGAAGTGGAGGCGGGGAGAGCTTCGCCAGACAGGGGATGATCACGCAAAAGGCGCCGAACTTCCATCAAAGCTTTTCCCAACAAGTTTTTACCACTAGACGCCCACTTGGATGAAACGCTAGCCTCCGGAAAGCATGCAGACATGCCGATACCCCAAACGCGATCGAAGGGGCTGGCTTCCGCAAGGAGGCGGGTACCCGTCTCCAGTAAATGTTGTTTCATGTCGTGGTTTTGAGCGAATTTGGCATACGACCCCGTAAGCACGATCTCTTCTCGACGACGCTCCCATTCAGCATAGTCAAAAGGACGTACGTTACGACCCAAGTACTTGTGTGTCTTAGGATCTGGTGCAGCCATGATTTTGTCATACGACGTCATATCCCCAAACAACTTCGCTTTTTCAGACATCATAAATTGCTCACCACATGAATAACGTACCCCCAGTACGTCAAAAACCGAGGGAGTCCATTGCGAGAACACAGACGGAGGTTTCCAGAAGAGGAGGACGTCATCCGAAGCGTACTCGCATTTGTCATCAAACGGCGGAGCCGGTGCAGGGCGCAGAGGCAAAGAGCGGGCACCAGGCACGGGCGGGGGTGGGCCAAGCGGACGGGTCCTCATCTCCGACGGGGAGGACCCAGAAAGCGAGGGAGGAGCGGGCGAAGTCGCTCCGGTCCATGATCCGGAGGGCGGCCTACGGGTGGCGGCTCCGGCGAGGTCAATGTTAGCAGAGGCCATTCGGCTATTAGAGACTTGTTCGTTAGGAGAAGTCTTTCCTGCGGCAGACGGATATGTGTGAATGGACGCAGGGCGCTCTGGACTACTCCCCCGTGACAAAGGAGCCGAACCTTCCACAGAACGGTGGGCACTACCATCCGATCCCGATGGCAGTGGTGCAGTCAGCACGTTGTGGGCAGCAGAGGAAGACGCATTCGTATCAGGTGCTGCCACACGGGGGCAGCGGACGGTCGAAGACAACGAAAGCTGCGAGAGAGAAGGAGAATCGACGGGGTCCCCGACGAGTGTAGAAGAAGGCTCGTGTGCTATCCGAGAAGAGGCCCGGCTGACAACACCAGGAGAGTCTTGGCGAACAGTAGTAGACGAGGTTCTTGTTCCTTCTGTAACCCGAGACGGCGAGGTGAGCAGGGGTGAACCACTCGACGTCTTACCTCCCTGTCGCCCACACCACAAAGGTTGTGCCGGAGTGGGTTTGTCATGTCCAATACCAGCAGACGATGAGGTGGGTGACGAGGAGGCGGGCCGAGAAACTAGATGTGATTTGGGGGCGTGGGGAGTATCCAAAGAAGTAGGCTGTACACGAACATCCTGGGAGACTCCAAAAGGGTGCACGGTGGTTGCTAGTGACGGTAGTACCGGCTGAACTCCGCCATCGGAATGTCATTTCTTACCCTTCCAGCCCCTCTTAGCCGAAGTGGAAGCCTCCGATGAGGATTCTGTGTGCGAGGACTGTTTCATGTCCGATGTGTCAGATGAACGGCGGGCGCGTCCCGAGGAGTGAGCACGGGGTGGGTTGCGTCCTGTAGGTCGTCTATACGAGGTCATGCGCTTTTTCCACCGACTCCAAAGTGTGGGATCTTTTTCCATGCAGAGCTTGATGTCATTGTTAAGCAGACCTGTGGCGTTAATGAACCCACGAGTACAAGATTTGAAGGAGTGGTCTTCCCCTAAGCAGTTGAGGCACTTGCCCTTGTACAGCCGAAGCGCGTTGCGACGGTCTTCAGCCGAGACCAAGGGGGTGAACAATGGCGGATCATTCTTGGTTAGAGCCATCTCACTAGCGACGTTGTATACCTCTGGAAAGTGTCCTTGCAGCGGCCAGTCGCTGTAGTGCAACAGAAAAGGGTCTCGATCATCATAAGGTAGAGGGTCAACACTCATCACCGCAGCCGAAGAACCTGGACTCCACGAAGGGGTCACCGACGACCGCAACGCCGAAGAAGCTACAGCACGCGAAACAGCAGACGAACTCCGAGCATTCGTGGAAGACACCGAAAAAAAATCGTCACCATGTACCGCCGGCGTGTGCGCGAATGCACGCTTGTCCAACACATCCCACATATCGTCCAAACACGAAGCATGTCGCCCAAAAGGGGCTTCCATGGAGAGCTGCTCATCCTTGTACACCTGTCCAGACACTACGGGAAACTGCTTCAACATGGAGTCGCGAACAGCTATCTGCACTTGTGCATCCGAAGGCTTGAACGCGTGATGAGAAACCATGACAGTCATGGCCAGAGCCTTATAGCGACGAATGTATTCTCCGTACGTCTCGCCGGTGGACACGCCAAAACTACGAAGGCGATCGATCCCCGAGCTCTTGTCTTGAGTGTCCCAGCCGGCCGCCAATTTCTGGATGAAGAACGCGTACGTCGAGGGCCCGGCCGGTTCCTTGCGCAGATGGTTTTCTACCTGTTGGAAAGTGGCATCAAGAAATTCCAGCGTGGCACGGTTGGTGGTTTGACCTTCAACGACAGCAGCACGAACACGTTTGCGCAACAACGGAAGCCATCCTGTGACCCAGGTGGAGGAAGCGAAAGTCTGCTTGCGTTTGACGTCGCTTTTGGTGAGGATCTCGGTGACCACGCCCTTGCAGCTAGACGCGAAACGAGCAAATTCATCAGGATCAGAACCAAGGGGCAAGCGTGTGACACTATCCAGTTGTTCCGGCTTCAGCTTGTCCATCTTGTCTTGAATGCGGATGGTGTCGGCCTCCGCTACAGCGGCGTCCGCAGCGTCCAAAGCCTCCTGCCTCGTCCTCGCCCCCGTGGAAGACAAAGGCAAGCTAGCATCATCCTGAGGCAACGGCGATGTCGCGTTGGCCGGTGACGCCATGACGTGGCCAGTCGCCGGGCGAGGATCGATCAGGATAGACGTACGCGGAAGGGGGGGGGGCACCACCAAAGGCTGTTGTAGCAGAGCTGGAGCGGTCGACGCTGATGGCACCACCAAAGTCTGTTGCGGCAGAGCTGGGGCGGCCGGCGCTGATGACGATGACACTGCCGTGGCCCTGGCAGCCGCCTCATCGTGAACCTCGTACCCTGAACGAACTCCCGAGGAACTCGAAGCGTGGTCTTGCAGTGGTGCCAAATGCGCCCGCGACGAAAAGGGTGGGGCAGAAGGTGGCATGCTAGGGGCGTTCGAGGGCACAGAAGGTGGTACATTCGAGTCGGCAGCAGCATCCACAACTTGGCCAGACGTTTGCGCGCGCAGGAGAGTGAGCACTTGTTCCAACAGCATTTCAGTACGGGAAGCCGAAGTTGAGGCGTGTGATGCAGCATTGCGTGGTGAACCAACCCGTTCGTCCAAAAGCAAGGAAGATGTGGGCTGATCTCCCACGGTGCGTGTAGGGGCATGGCTTTTAACCGCGGCGGAATGTTCACGAAGTTGCATGTTGGCAAGTTTGAACGCCAAGGTAGACACGGGCGGCGGTCCTACATCAGCGGGGGGGAGCAAAACCGGTGGCGAAGAACAGGGTGAACCATCTTCTGAGGCAGTCTTACGTTCCCCCAACAGCCCAGAACTACGAAAATCACACCGATCATACTGCACTTGCCTGCGACCCCGACCTGACTTCCGTCGCC